ATGATCTGGAGCTGTGCTAGATGATTCTCGCCCCTAACTGCACTTTATACTGTCTATGTTTACAGCTCAGGGATGAAGTACAGGCAGACTTTTTCCTGCATATTCCTTTCCACATGACCTTTAAAAATGTCATACGGTTTACGATATTCTCATGAAAGCTGTCTCCTCATAACTTCATAGAATTACTATCCTTATCATATATTAGTTTCCTCCTCTTCCACCTGCTCTATCACTCCTACTTCTTTCATTATATTAAATATTTTCTCTCCTTCTTACTCTCTCTGTCTTTTCCTTGCACTCATCCTTCTAGCAAATTAGTTACATGTCCATTCAATATATGGCAGGTAAAAGGCTGGACTGACGATTCCGACTCCTACCGGCATACATAGTCCGGTCTATGTTTACAGCTAAGGGATGAAACACAGGCTGCATCGAAAAATATCACCCCACTACATCTAAAATGATAAAGGCAGCTTGCACCATAAAATAACACCTTACACACGGCCTGCGTACAATCCTGTTGGTCTATTATTTCTGCCACATGAACTGCCCTACTATCTTTTTCACTGCACCATAACTTCACCCTAGTAAACCTTTCAAACTCTGGCCGCTCCACATTTTGTTTGCTCTGGACCATTCATTTGTTTTTAAAATTAAAGTTCGGCTTTCTGACGGACGCAGATTATTATTCCTAAATCAAGTAATCCAAAAAAAAAACGCGAATTTTCATTTTATGCTATGAGAAAAATGGCTGTTGTTTAGAGCGGGTTCCACAACCTCTGTGCTAAGGATGTCAACGGAAGAAAAGACGAAAAAAACGAAATTGGACGAGCAAGACGAGAACAAAGACCTCCGGGAGGGGCGTTATTCATTCATAATTGAGGATAAATCGCCCTCTCCATCCGTGGAGGTACGACTGCCATATCCTGCGAAGCAACAGCAACTTCGCGAACCTTCTGAATCTCTTTCCGAAGAAGAAAGGTTCTTAATTTTTAATAAAATTTACATTCATTTAGAACAAAAGTTCTAAAAAAAAGGGTTTAGACAAAAAAGTTTGCATTTTTTTGCTTGCTAGAATTACTTTTTTTTTGAAATTTTTATCTCAGCCAGCGAGATTTGAAACGTACCAAGGGCGAATAGCGAAGATTAGCACAACGAGCAGCTTTCTTTGAGTTTGGATAGTATGCATATAACAGTATTGGTAAAATCGCTCCAGATTTAGTGCCAAGCTTTCAGTGTTTGTAAAGTGCGACCACACGTCGGTCGCAACTGTGCTGCGATTTTTTTGACCGCCCTCCTTCTGATAGATGCAATAGGTGCGCGTTGTCCAATCCATGTGGTAATTTTCTCTAATTTATTTGTACTGCTCTTTGTTTATACACTTTATTACGTTTATTTTTAAAATGTAATATTATGATTAATATCATGATTATCCTGATCATGCGCGTTATCCAATCCATGTGGTAATTTTTCTCTAATTTGTTTGTACTGCTGTTTGCTTGTACAACTTATCACGTTTGTTTTTAAAATATATATCATGATTTATATCATGATTATCATGATCAGTATTGATATTTCTATTATTCTCTTACAACGATGATGATTATTTTGTTAGTATCACGCACCTGTTTTTTTCCGTCGTAAAAATACAAAAATTTTGTCATTTTTAGAGCTTCAAAATCGAGTTCCGAAGTGAGCAGTGAAGAGAAAAGTCCCTCAGCCAGTGAGTCAAAAAGCGCCGCCGATCTCGAAAAATCATCGCCGTCCGCATCCGAATCGACCATTTCTGAATCGGAAAGTAAAGAAGGCTCTGTGGAAGAGAATACGAGGACAGCACCGGCTACATCAGCCGCTCCATTGCCCGCTGCTACAAAAACGAATGATCTGAAGCCAGTTACGGAATTTCTAAGGAGCGCAACTTCATCTTCATCCACTGTTAATGTTAGTTTTCTAGGCATAATTATGAATTAAAGGTTAAAAAAGAAAATATCAGGAGAAAGAAACAAAGAAGGAAAGGAAGAGGATATTAAAATAAGTAAGGAGTAGGGTATAAACAAGTATTTTTTATAGGTAAGAGATGTTTCGGTCCATTAAGTCGTATACATTTTCTTATCGTTACCACATCACTGTGTGCGTATTAGTGGAAAGGTATGGATTTTACGGCCTCTTTTTGCGGCCCTGAACTAATCTTAATTTCTAAATTTGTGCATGTTGCATGTTCCTCTCGTCCATTCACTTTCATGCCATAGCACTTTCTAGTATTATCTTAAAAATCACGCTGCATTTTGAAATTATTAAACGTGACAAGAAATTTTACGATTTATAAATATTTCCCCTTTCTTCTCTTTCTTCCTTTCCTCCTTTCTTTTCCATCAAATAAGATAGATAAAATAATAAAGTAAGATAAAATGTTAAAAAAAAAAGCTCGTAATTGCATAGAGAAAAACCTTTAGCTCGCACTCGCACTTGCATAAAGAATATCCCTGCATAGTTTCAGCCTTGTACCTTGCCTGGTTCGCAAAACCGTTTCTCGCCAAAGGAATTTGCATATTTATTTCGAGGGTCCATACGTGGGTAATAGTAAGATATGTTTCGGTCCATCAAGTCGTGTACATTTCTTACCATTACCACAATGGGACCTCGTCAGTAGGACGTTTGTGGTAATTAGCATGAATTTGAATAAAATTTGTATTGTTTTGTTAGAATGGATAGATAAAGTAATAATATAAGTTAAGTGGGTAATAATGAAAAAAAAAAAAAAAAACACTGCTACCGTCATATTGACGAAATCCTGTCACGGTGTTGAGTTAAGACGTATATAACTTAATGAGTCGAAACATGTCTTATCTCACTCTTACCTTCTTTTCTCTTATACTGTTCTTTCATGCTGTATTCAGTTGCGCCTTCGCCACTTATTAGACGTCCAAGGTCAACTTGAATGCTACAATCGACTTAACATTTTCCGGTTTTTGGTGTTGTAGCAAATAGTGTTAGTCTTAAACTGAACGGCAGTAGCTTAATTTTGTGAATGTGGAACAGTTCCCTCTATGATTAGTTTTATTTATCTCGATGGTAAATTGGTACTGGCTGATGTCAGAGGGTGTTATAAAGGAATAAGAGATAAGGGATTGGTCTGGGTGTCATATTTATATGAGAAAATGTTAGGATGCAACCTGTATTTCATCCCTTAGCTGTAAACACAGACCGAACTTTGCATGCGGGTAAATGTCTTCGGGAAGGAAACATCAGCAACCTTACAGCGGTTGTTATTTTTTTCATATTTCACCGCCTGAGCCGCTTTTTTTATCATTCACCTCTCGTCGAGAGTGTAGTGTGGAAGGGGTTTTTTCCAGTTCAGATGCTGAGCCGAGCAGCTGGAATAGGAGGACAATTTTTTGATATTTTGTAAACTGACAGCAGTGTAGGTCGTAAAGACGCATCTGCTATTCTTTGAACCAAGAATGCCAAGACCATTTTGACGGTTAGTGTGAGTATCGCATTTTGATGATTTTGCTAACATATTCCTTCACGCCGGTCGGAGGTGTGAGCAGTGCACAGCTTTGTATCAGAACATAAGTTTTTACATTTGAAATTCCTTTTTTTAATATTTTGAGTATTTTATATAGTGAAAAAAAAAGGAATACCAAGAATGCTTGGGCTATCAGTGTGAGTATCTCCTGTTATTGATGTTACTGAGATGCTCCTATAAACCGAACATAGCTATGCCAGGCCTTTCGATCCCGGGCTGCCAACTTCGTATTTATTTGGTAGTCTGGATAAACTATCTTCTCTCGCTCACCACTGTTTGCCAATAGGCTGCTTGCCAATAAGCTAGAAAGCTGGAATTTTAAGGGAATGTTTTCTGGCAGTCGTGGTGGCCAGTTTCAGTTCTTTTAGCTAGAAGCATCTGCCGATAAAACTAATACTGTTAACGACAAAAACTTGCGGAAATTCGTGCAAAAAACGCATCTTCGTACGCCGCCCAATCAATTACGTTGTGTGTGAACCGGCACCAAACTACATAGGGACATTTCTTGTTTCATTTTGCAATGGCTCTGTGTTCCAGAATCATTGTGTGAAATGGCTAATCCCCTCCACCAGTCTTATACTGCACATTTTCTTTTATGCCCTGATGTTTTGTTCATATCCATATTTTTGTAAGGAACAGTTGGTAACACGGCAACCAGAAAAGCTAGAAAGCTGGAATTTTAAGGGAATGTTTTCTGGCAGTCGTGGTGGCCAGTTTCAGTTCTTT